ATATATATGTGTGTGTGTGTGTGTATATATACATATATACACATACATACACACATACATAGAAGTGTCCTGCATAAGTGTCCAATACAGTATTTATTAATTTAATATATTGATAATTGTTTTATAGGTTTTAAAAGTATATTGAAAGGTCTGTCACTACTGAACTGTTTTCTAAATAAATAAATTAGGGTTGAAATGGTATAATATTTATCTGCATTTTAAGACGTCTTTTTATGTTTCGTTGTATAAAATGAAGACCCTTCATATTACCCCACAACTGAAGAAATATTCGTAAATTTGATTATGTGATAGCCTGGTATGAGAAGTTTGAATTTTAGATTTTCGTTTTATGGAAATAACATATTTTATTATTTACCACTCTGCTTACCACCGACACATTGAATAGAAGCCAACTTGGTTTAATCTCGAGAAACCCATCTCAAATTTAGTTTGCAAAATTAGCCTCGAATAGAAGCCAATCTCGAAAAGAAGCCCATAACCTTTCCAAAATAGCATGTGCTTCTTTTCAAAGAAACAAAATATTTTTAAAACACGCTCGGTTTATAGAGTATTTTAGATGAATGCTAATTAATACACTCCATGATACACACTGATTATAGTGGCCCTATTGTTTTATAGTGATAATTCCCAAAATTTAATGCATTCATTATGAAAAGAATCCCCCTCTTTACTTTGGAAAAGTTGCTTCGAAAAGAAGACCATCCAAAGTTCGCAAAAAAGACCATCCAAAGTTCGAAAAAAAAAAAAAAAAAAAAAAAAAGCACAGGCCTTCTACTCGAGGTTTTACGGTGGATGATAGTAAATAGCAAATTCACTAAAAAAAATAAGTATAAATCCCGGACGTGAAACTACTTTTATTTGGCATTATAATTAGGTTGATATATATATAATACGGATATATGATAGTCATATCCTGTGATAAAATAAAAAAATACTATTACCGTGAATCAAATTAAAGCACTGAATTGATAAAGGAAAGAATATAAAGTTATAAAAAATATACCACTTGTATCGAACTGAAAAAAAAAATAGAAGTAATCAATCCTTTACATTTTTGCTTAATTTTAGCAAATTTCTATGTATTTTATACCAGGCAGTGTATTCTTAACTTGATTAACTATTTTAATTACTGTACTTATTAATACAACGTTACTGCATATTTATTATATAATATACAGTAATACTGTACCTGAAATTAATGAGTACATCCTTTACCATCGCGCCAAATAGTACAATAGAATGGTTGATAGCAGACGATTGGGTCACGAAGAAGCTCAGGCAAGCGGGACTGTCTGTGATTGGTTAATCCAATTAGCGCTATAAGTCAAACGCAACACTTGAGCAAGCTATATAAACGTGACTATTCATTGGATAAGTATCATTCTCGATTTAAATAACCGAAGAACGAAATACAATAATAATGTCTGGACGTGGTAAAGGTGGAAAAGCTAAGGGAAAGGCCAAGAGCCGATCAAGCCGTGCTGGACTCCAGTTCCCAGTCGGTCGTGTCCACCGATTCTTGCGAAAGGGTAACTATGCATCTCGAGTCGGTGCTGGTGCCCCAGTATACATGGCTGCTGTACTCGAGTACTTGACTGCTGAAATCTTGGAGTTGGCTGGCAACGCTGCCCGTGACAACAAGAAGAGCAGAATCATCCCCCGTCATCTTCAACTTGCCATCCGTAACGATGAAGAGTTGAACCGTCTTCTCGGAAGTGTGACCATTGCGCAGGGAGGTGTACTACCAAACATCCAGGCTGTACTTCTGCCAAAGAAGACCCAGGCCAAAACCAAGTAGACTTAATTACTGTATCTTCTCAAACCAAACGGCTCTTTTCAGAGCCACCAAATACACAAAAGAGATTTGAAACAAGGCCGTTAAAGTGCGTACATGTGTGTGCTTCTTTGTATGATAGTCCGATTATTCATTAAGCCATTGTAACACGAGCCTAATGTTTAGAGTTCCATCACGTTGCTACAGTGTTTTCTCAACAAACTACATATATTCATTAGAGGACTAAACATTGTTTAAAAAACAAGAAAATGTATACAGCGTTTTCATTATATATAATATTACTACTATAAAATGTAGTTAAACTCAAAAGATACGGTATATACATTTTAAGAACATTACAATAGCATATATTCAAAATTGTATAATTATTTGTATATTATTACCATATAATAAAAACCGTAAAACCTTGAATAAAAACCATGTGCTTCTTTTGGAAGGACCATTTAGATGGGTTTCTTTTTAAGATGGGATTATTTTCGAAATTGGTTTTGCAAAAAGACTCGAATTATTTTCAAAATGAATAATTTTAATATTTGATTTTGTATAAGACTATTAAAGACATTTTCAATTTTTTTTAATTCTACAAAATATAAACATAATTTTTTAATTAGGCCTAAAATGATGATCAAAACATGCCAACGACAATCTGTCGAACAACTACATCAATTTTATTAAAACCCATGGTTTTGATATAATTTATTACTATAAAATAACAAAAAATTAAACGTGTATATATTTATAACTTATATATTTCTTTATTTATACTGGGGAACGTTAAACAGGTTATCTACCATAAAAAATAAAAGGTTATATTAATAATAATAATATGAATAATTATATAATTTTAAAAATAATGATCTTGTCATGTTTAAAATGTATACAGTATTGTTGAGTATGGATGGATATGTGGTTTCAGACTTATAGGGAGTTCATACTACATTTTATAATACTAATCATATATACATTCATAAAAGCTATATATATTTCATTTGTTGTTATTTTTTCACATTTATGAAGTTAACATTTTCAAACTTTAGCAACTTTCATATTTTAAGACAAGTGTTAAAAACAAATTTAATAATGCATTTAATAGAAGGGACAGGAAGGAACAAAGAGATATCAAGACACGCATGGTGCTAAACCTTAATATTTGTTGGGTTCACATGTACAGATAGGCCTATTTTTCTAATATATCAAACACAATGTTTGGTAACTAATAGTATTGGTTTTTTACTTCAACCGAAATATATACGATATAAACAAATTTCAATGTTGACAGCATACATGTAGGAAAGGTTTGTAAAGCAAATTTTTAATTGTTCAATTCATTTTACATTTAATAGTTCAGAGTTTGTGAAGACAATTAATAATTTT